CCAGCTTTGATTTTCCTCCCAACTTTGAAACGATCCCCAGGATTATTGGTATTATCCATAATTCTGATCATATTGCTCTGTACTCTCCTTGTCAGTGTTTGGAGCAGTTGACCAAGGCATCCAGATCTTTTGAGACAGCCCTCGTGTCAATCTGTTCTCACCTATTGGAATATAAGTGTTGTATTGCTGCAGCAATAGCTTCTCGACCCTCTCCTGTCAACATAGGTGTTATCCAAGTACTTATCCATGCCCCTTTCTTGACTGCCTGGAGCTGTGTCCCCCAGTGTTATCCCCAGACACTGGATCAACTTCCATGCACTGATGCCAGCTCTATCTCTTGACCACCCTTTCGGTAACTCTCATGCTTCCTTCTCAGCCTTTGTTTTATCAGATAGCTTGACCTCCGCTCAAATTTCAGGAAGTTTGAAGACATTTTAGACTAATGTTCCTGATGGGTTGGTGAAGAGATCAAGACATCCCTGTTGACAGTCCCATCATAGATAATGGGATCGGGGTGGTGTCAAACTGTTTCCTACCAGGCTGGTTACGTTGTTATCTTTAGCCATTCCTTAACCCTGTATCTCAGGCTCAATCAGAATGTTAGCATTGAATGAACAAATCGTAAAATGTACTTCTCCCGAAAAAAGAACTCCTCCCCCTATCCCTGGCTCTTTTGGATTTTCAGCTTCTGGAGGATCTGAGTCTATGACTGGTCACCAGCATTTTCTGTGCAAAGTCTGGCCAAAAGTAGCCACCTAGTTTGGTAGCACCATGGGGTGGGTTTAATACTTACTCAATCACCTGGATTCATTATTGGGATCTGAAGCAGCAGTGCCATCGAAACTGCACCCTGGGCTTCTAAGGTTACAGCTTTTTCTAATTCAAACAGGTGGGAAAGATGACGCTGGACAAATAATGGAAACTCTCCATTGTCTTGCGTTGGTTGGTTGAACTCGAGTAGGCACAGGGCTACTGCTGGAGATTGCACTGCCTCAGCTGTTGTCAATTTCTGTCTAAAACTTGTGAAATCTGAGCAAGTGCTGTAGAGGGAAGTTTGAACAACAGCCCCTTCAAAGTTTGGGTGGGGAGGGGGTGGTGGGGGCGCTGTGTGGAAGTGGGGAGGAAGGGAAAAGAGGCAAGCCATAACAGACTGGACTGTGACCCCTTGTGATGACTAAGATGACCAGGGGCTGGCAACCCCCTGTTCAACAGCAGGACACCCCTTAGGTCCCAAAACGCAGACACATTTTGTGGTGTTTATTTTCCAGTCAGTTCAGGGAATATGCAAGGGCAGGTTCAAGAGCCAGTTTCAGCTCTGCTGAAGTATGTTAGTGGGACTGAACACTCAATGTAGCAGCCTGGGCTTGAGTGTGAGTGTTAGTGTGATGAGAAGATCACAATTGAAGAACCTTGTCCTTGTTTTGATGTGTTGTATGTGGCTATACTCTGAGGATGTGGATTCAAACCCCACTGTAGCAGACAGTGGGATTTAAATTCAGTTAATACTTTTGGAATGTAAAGCAAGTCTCAGTAATGGTGACCATGAAAACGAAGATTATTCCAAAAAGGAATCCACTGGATTCACTAATGCCCTTTTTGTACGGAGGGAAATTTGCTATGCTTGTCTAGTCTGACCTACGTGTGACTTCAGAGCCATGGTGATATGTCAGGCTCACTGCTGCTCTCTGAAATGGCCTGGGAAGCTGCTTGGTCAAGGTCAGTTGGGGGTGGGCAGCAAAGGCTGGCCCTGCCAGTCACCACCCCCCAACACCCCACAACACCCCACGAAAGAATGAAGAGAAAACCTCCGAACGAATGTTAACTGACACCACAAACGTATCGTTTTTTTGTAATTGTGACTGACCTTGTTCTTGATTCCAGTTTTCCAGTGAGCACTTTCCAAATTGGGCCGGGTGACGACTTATCAACGAAGTGGCACAGGCCAACAGTTAAAAGTTAAATTTTGCTCTTCAGTTTACACTCTCCCCGCGCCCCGATTTTATTGCAGTTATTGTCATAGGTCGCACTGTCCTTTTGAGTGTGAACCAAACATTCAGAAACATAGAGTCACTCATCAAGTCTTGTTCCTCCCACTCAAACCTCGAGAATAACCAAATTACTCATTGTAGCTTGTGATGGAAGGCTTGAAATTGCTTTAGCTAGATGTTAAGGAGATTTACACCCAACTTGTCTATTTTCAGAATGCCCCAGAGCTGAGTCTGTGTAAGGATCATACAGAATGGACAATTAGTTTTGTTTCTTTTTGCATTTGTGCTGAATACTCCAAGTTTCAACAAGATCATTAATGGGGAAACTTACCTAGGTTTCATCAATTGGGAGAGTTGGTAAAAGCAAGGAACAACCTTGACTTGAAAGGCTGAACTGAGTAGTGCTTTCTGTTGATGTTTGTTTTAATGAGTAGCTCTGCAAGTTGCTGGAATGGCTGTGATCTGTACAGACATCACCTGTAGGTTTGGCAAAGAGCACACTAATGCCATGGTTAAGTGACAAAGCAGCATCTGGTCTGAAAGATGGTACAGCCGGAATTGCATGTTCAGAAATGCTATTCTAAATTTTGAAGAGAAGACTTGATGCACAAATAAGCCAAGTGGGAGGCTGGGTCCTGGTGTGGTCTGCCTGTGTTTCCAATGGCCAGCTGGTACCACGGGCTATGGCAGTGCATACGAAGAGTTCATCTTGGCTTCGTTCTCTACTGAAACAGGCTATAATCATAGAATCACTACAGTGTGGAAAGAGGCCATTTGGCCCATCAAGTCTGCACTGATCCTCCAGAGAACATCCTGCCCAGACTTAGCCCCTGTACTATCCCCTTAAACCCTATTATCATGGTTAATCCACCTAGCTTGCATATCCCTGGACACTACGGGCAATTTAGCATGGCCAATCCACCTAACCTGCACATCTTCGGGCTGTGGGAGGAAACAGGAATGCCTGGCAGAAACCCACACAGACACAGGAAGAATGTGCAAACTTCCTACAGTCAGTCCCTGAGGCTGGAATCGAACCTGGGTCCCTGGTGCTGTGAGGCTGCAGTGCTAACCACTGTGTGACCGTGCTGCCCGAATGTGCAGGGAACCAGGAAATGGAGAGACAGAGAGATTGGGACAGTGTCATGCTCACCACCTTAATGAGGAAAATCTAAGTAAGATTACAAAGAAATGAAAATGCTTGGAAAAACTTTAAAATCCTCTGTCTGTTTTATAACATACAGCTCCATTCAGAACACCTGCTATACTGAAGTGCTCATGCCAGCTAGTAACAGGACCTGGATAATATCCAAGGTCGGATTTTAAGAGTCATGTGACACTCGTGCTAGGCAAATATTGGGCAATCATCACCTCAAATAGGAGAAACCAATTCACTTTCTCCAATGGCACAACTTGCACTGAGTTTTTCACCCTCACCTCCAGCAATAGCATTGAGAGAGAACAAGAGCTTTAAATAGCCAGCAATTACCAACACTGTGGCCATGGGAATAGGGTTGAGACGAGGCTTTCGGTGCTGCTTGGTTCACGTCCTGACTCCTCCTCCATCGCGAGTCACGGTTGCACTGAGATCAAATGCCACCTGTATAGATTGCTGTGACAACAACAACATTGAGTGAGTTTGACTCCATCTAGGTCGGAATGGTTTCTTTTTGATTGGTAATTCAGGCACTGGACTAAAAATCACCCCTCCAAGTTGAAGCGCTGAGCATACTTGAGTGGGTTTGTTGGTGTTGCCGATCTCCTTTTTAGAAACAAAAGGCCATGTGCTAACATTAGCTAAGGCAGTCATATGGACATTTGAAATGGACCTGATCAATTCTGTGATAGGAAGGGAGAAAGAAGTGACTCCTGCAGGAAGTGCATGTGTAGAGACGTATCAGTAAAGTCAGACAGTGCTGTTCTCCGTGGTTCCAGGATCTGCTCAAATAGCTCTTTGACACTCCGTATCCAGGATGTGGGCACAAAAAAAGTCCTGTAGCTGTGGAGTCCGGGCCAGCTGTGCTGCCCTCTGAGATATAAAGTCTTTGTTTAGAAAAGGAAGGTAATATTTTGATGCCTTAGGAAATAGGCCAGTGTACTTCCAGATTGATAATTACAGGTTGTTGACAAGTATTTGCAACTATCTTCCCCACTTGTATGCATGATCAAGTATTTATATCTTTTTTGGGGGTTAGGGGGTGCAGGAGGAAGGAAAAATTCATCACAGCTTAAGGCTGTCATAGGGAAAATGCATTTTGTTAAACATAAGCTTGAACCTCACTGGCATAAAGAGGATTATGACTGCACACTGACCTTAGCACATTTTTATTGCACTTGAAACTTGGAATAAAGCTTCTTTTCACAACTTATGTGCTGAAGTTGTAGGAGAGTAGCAGGAGGATGGCACATTAAATGACAGAATGTTTTGCTCCTTCTTTTGAATATAGTCCAAAAGAACTGTTTTGTTTTCTAATGGGAAAAGTTTCCTTTCAATCTGACTGAAGTTGGTTCATGAAGCTCTATAAGGCCACAATGGTCAGAAAATCTTTGATAGGAAATGCCCATTGGTAGTGCACCTTCCAGTGAAGGGGACAATGGAAACTGGGGAGACAGTAGGAATTTCAAACTGCTTGGGATATCCTGAATATTTTTCACAACCCCCTCCTGTTAAGAGACAACCCAGTTCAGACGCACAATAGAACTCCGTGCTCTGCCTCAGACATGGGCTATATGGTTTCTACCCAGAACATAGCAGTTGTGAGTTGGTGCTGAACTGTCTTGGTTTCTCTGCCTTGAACTTATGGTCCACCCTGGCCAGTGTTCAGAGTATAAGGAAAATAACATCTGGTTATCTGCAGAGGCCTGAAATGGGAGAAATTAATTGAAATTCTTCCATTTTGATGGTGGTTTGGGTGGATGTTTAATTGTTCATTTTAAAACACCTGTGTTTCTTAATTTGTAAGCTTCTCGTTATAAATGAGTTTTTTTTTTCTTGTTTGTTTTCCTCTGTAGACTGCCTCTTTAAGCTATGTCCCATGAACCGGTACTCTGCTCAGAAACAGTTCTGGAAAGCAGCTAAGCCCGGGGCCAATACGACTACAGATGCAGTGCTGCTCAATAAGCTACACGTAAGTAGAATGTACTTCTAAAGTATACTGGTGTTGTCTTTGGAAGCAGTAGGACTGATTTAATATGCCAGCTCCTCCTTGTAATCTTGATTTTACAGCAACTTGAGGGCTTTCGTTTTTACAGGGTGTATTTTAAAGGGATATCAGTTGAAAGGCTTGAGTACAAAAATCCATGCAGACTGTCCAGTGTGGTACTGAAGCATCATTGTTTTGTCTGAGGGTCCAAATTGCCAAACAACAAGCAGGTACTTTGGTTAAACCAGAAGATGCCATGGCCCCATTTTGAAGAGGTGTTCTGGTCAATACTCATCCCTCAATCAGCCCAACAGGAATACATTTAATGATCACTGGGGGAGTTTGCTGTGTACACATTTGGCTGCCACATCTCCACTGTTACAATTGTGACAACACTCCAAGTATAATGAATTATAAAGTGCTTTGGGGTTGCCTGAGGTTGTGAAATGCACTATTTAAGTGCAAATGCTTTCTGGAGTGGCATCTCTTCCGCCCCACCACCCATATTTCCATTTCACAACTCCATTAAAAATTCCATCTGGGAAGTACTGCAAAAGTTCAGACTCCTGAACAAAATGACTGCAATTAGAGAGGGTGCTGGTTTCACCATTCCGATTTCTTGAAGTGGCTTTATTAGTTCCACGTGACTGCCCGGCTAAAATACTGGCAGGTGATGAAGACTTTGCCTCTTCTGGCGTGTTGGGGAGGCTCTTGTCAGTCTGTGTAGCATCTTCACCGCAAAGTGTGTGTGAAAAGGCCATAGGCATTGTTGCAGTCACACAGGCCTCCATTGTGAAATGGACCAAATTGGGTGGCCATGAATGAGTTTACAAGTACCGTTTGCCATGTGCAGCTTTCAATGGATGACCTGTTGATGAACCACTAACAGAGTTGCTAGCTGTATTGGAATGTACTTCTGGAAGCATGAAGACATTACCACTGCTGCTACCCCTCCTCCCAAACCTTTCTCAACACCCCACTCCAACCCTGCCATTGCTCATAAATCATAACTATCATCGCCGCACATTCCCAGTGGAAAGCAGCCTTTCCTGTCATGTTGGTGTTACGCTGATGGCTCTTGGTCACCACATTTTTTGGTTCTGATTGGCCAAGTCATGGAGTGTATGCAAGACAAAGGTGGATAGGATTTTGATTAGTCAGGGGATCAACAGCTATGGATAGGAGGCTGGAGAATGGAGTTGAGAAACATATTAGCCAGATTGAATGGCGGAGTAGACTCGAAGGGCTGAATGGACTAATTCTGCTTCTATATTTTGTGGTGTCATGATTGGTTTATGCAATCAACAAACTGTCTCTGGGATTTCGTCCATCCCACCTCCTCTTGCCCTCACCCGCTGCTTGAACAAAGCAGCAGTGTAAACACACATGTCAGTGAGTTCAAGTAACTTGTTTCCACAGCCCTTCATTTCAGCAGCCATCTTCTGATTTTTGTCTATAATCCAAAATAATGAAAAATAAAAATGGGCATTGCATCACTGATTCTCTTGTGCAGTTCGAGTGCTCAAACTAACTTCGTTTCTTCGCTAGATGCAGGAGTTTAGGAATCCTCCACGTGAGCATACACTATGTTCTTTTATCCTGTCTTATGTTGATCATTTATGATATTTATGATCAGAAATTTTTTTGATGCAAGTTTCTCCACTGAAGTCAGCTTACTGTTGTGATTCTGTTCCATGTCAGGTGTACTGTAGGCTTCCCTGGGATTCTAGATTGCTGCTGTTGCTGAATACTTTGTCAGTGATTACCACAAATCACCAAATTTCCTTCTGATCCTTGTGCCTGCTTTAACCTGTTGTGTAAAACACCAGAATGCAGGTTCCAATTTTCTGTACAAGCTGAAGCAAGGAAGTATTTGAAACAACTGGCAGTTAGTGATGAGAAATGAAAATGTCAGACGTCCCAAATGTGTACTTCTGCTGACACAGTGACCTCTGTCGTTATGTCTCTCTTTGTCCCCATACCTCCTACCTGCCCATCCCACAAACATCTCCCATTTTCTCTGTGTAGCTTGTCTTTCTGTCCACCCTCCCGAGAGAGTATGAAAGCTAGTCTAACAATTGGTGAGGAAATGATCATCTTTCCTCCTGAGCCTAAGGCCATGATTTTGTCTGGATGGTCTCTGTCATCAATCTTTGAGGATGCAACAATCACCAAGAAGTTTTTTGGTCCAGTTCCAGATCAGGTTACTGCTCCCAACCATTGTGGTAAGCAGTTCCCAGGTCCAGCTTCAAGATGATCTTACTGGAACACTTACCAGTTGCTCAATGCTGGAAGCATAACAATGAGCTAGAATTATCTGAATAGTCCTGTTGTAGTCATGACCCAAATAGCCATCGGAAAACAGCTATGTGAAGAGTGAGAAAGAGACACTGCTGATCAACTGGGAATGAACAATAAATGCAGGCCTTGCATGTATCCCAAGAATACTTTGAAGAATATGTATATGTATAATTGTCCTTCATCAATATGGTAGGCAGAAAGCCTGGTGATCTAGTCAGCAGCGTCTTGGACCAGCTTCTGGCTTGGAGGCAGTGTTCTGTTCCAGGACGCTCGGGGCAAGGTAGGAGCATTCATGATGTGATTCAGTAGGTTGTTCATCGGCCTGCTAATTCCTTGCTTTTCCATCATAAGCACAAGGAGAATAAAGTGAATGTGGATACAAACAAATGTTGTAGATGCTCTTTCTTTTTTGGAATTTCTCTGGTAATAAGAGTTTTTAAAAAATATAGTTTGAAACATTCCCTTACCTTCCCCACTTCTGCACACAAGACAAGCCCATTAGCTGAGTTTGTACAAAGTGCATTTATTATCACCAGTCTGAGTAATTGGGATACAATTTTAAAAAAAAGTGCTTCCCTGTTAATTCAATTGTAGTATTGGATTAGGTTGACATTGTGCTCAATTTGTGTTTTGTATGTGTGCATGTGCACCTGTTAGCTCTCATTGATTTCAGTTCCTAAAAAAAAATGCTTGATTTCAAACATCTGTTTGTTTAGGGTTCAATGGGGGAGATTTCATTCCACCAGTTAACTGAGAAGGGGGAAGGGAAATGGAGGTCATCTGCAGCAAATGTGTTTGAGAGAGTGAGTTCTGAAACATTGGAGCAGGAACAGACCATTCTACCCTAGACCGTGTTTGACAAATCAGTTTGGTTTACAGCTGCTCTTTCCCTCCAATCCCTTTCCACCCACCTTTGCTCCATACCATTTTGATCCCTTTACCTAATAAAAACATCAATCAAACTCCACTCAGGAAAATTTTAAACTGAGTCAGCATCCAGTGCCTTTCGTTGAGTTTCACATTTTCACTACTACTTGTGTGGGGGGGTGGGGCGGGAATATAAAAATGCTTGCAGATTTCACTCCTCACTTGGTCTAATTCTAAGATACTGCCTCCTTGTTCTGAGAATTTGAATTGAGACTCTAAAAATAGATAAGGTGGACAAAGAAATGCTATTCCCATTGGCTGACCTAAATGACAAAATGTTAGGGTTTTGGGCAAGATTGCAAAGGAGATGTGATGAGAGACAACAGTTTTACATGGTCAACGGTAATGACCTGAGACTCGCTACCTATGAGGGTGATGGAAGAGGAGATTATTGAAGATTCCAAAATAAAATCAGATGTGCCCTTGGGGGAAATAAACTGAAACTGCAAGGGAAATGAGACAGACTGGATAGTTATAGGGTGCTGGTATGGACTTGATAGACCAAATATCCTCTTTTTTTTTTGAACTGAGTGAGTTACCAGAGGCACACAATCTCTATCTTCCTCCACAAAAGGACTTGCATCTTAAACATTTTCAACTGGCTCACCCCTAGCCATCAAAATTCCTGGAGTTTCATTTGGAGACTGGATATGATGGTGCATTCAGATTTGTTCCAAAAAAAATCCATCAGTGGAAATTTTGTTTATAAGCAGACTTTTTATTGCAAATCTATATGGGTCAGATTTTATGGCTGTGACCTATTGACACTGCAGCTTCTCCCCCTCTCTGTCAAAAGTGGGGGAAAAAAAAAAAATCCCCGACTGGGAAAGCTAAAGGCCATGTAGAAACTGGAGACTTTCACTAGTGAGCAACAGCGTTCCATTGCTGTAACTTTGCTCGATTGTGTATTTTAATTGGAGTGTTTGCACTGCATTTCAATAAACCTTACGATCTTGTTCAAGAATGTCTTGATACTCTACCCACTGTTTGTACTGAAGCACATCAGCTGCGGTCTCGTAATCTTGGAGGATTTCCCATTGCTGTCAGAAAATAAATATTCACGAACAGATCGACTCTTCCAAGAACATGTTATGACTAATTATCTTGGTTGGCAAAGATGTTGGTTTTTTTTTTTTTTTTAAAATTTCGGGCTAATTTCAGTGTTACTGCTGCTTTTAAAATTGAAATCTCTCTCAAGATCCTTCAAGTTAGTCCCCACATCCGCCATATTTTTTCCAAAGAAAACAGCTATACCAGGTGAGCATCTCCATGGTGATGCCAACTTGTTTCTGAATTGGATCTTTTATCTGTTGACAGTTAGGAGAGGATATACCCTGTCCAGTTCACTTGTCCCCTTCTGTCACACAACGTCATAGCCATACTCTTCAGTCCAATCGGTCCATGCTGACCATAATCCCAAACTAAAGTAGTCCCCACCTGCCTGCACTTAACCCATATCCCTCCAAACATTTCTTCTTCATGAACTTATCCAAATGGCTTTTAAACGTTGTTCCTCCAGAAGTTCATTCCACACACGAACCACTCTGTTTAAAAATTTTTTTAAATTGCTCCTCATCTTTTTTTTGTTTTTAAAATCTTTCTCTTCTCACCTTAAAAATATGCCCACTCATCTTGAAATTCCCCACCCTAGGAAAAAGACACTGCCATTCACCTTGTGTATACCCCTCATGATTTTATAAACATCTGTACGGTTGCCCCTTAACCTTCTACACTGCAATGAAAAAAGACTCGGCCTA